CTGAGGCCAATGTGCTCTCGATCATGCTCATGTAGGCAAGACTGCCGAAGCGAGGCTGGCTAAAACATCTCAGTTCCCGCAGGCACCTCGGTGAAGGCTGCTTATAGGCTCGGGTTCTAAGAAATATGTCTGCAAGAAAAGGTGTTTGCAGTGTTTAAAAGCCAAACCCTCATTTTACAAATGCTGTTTTTCGCAACATCTTTCCAAGGAGCCAAGACATATTCCCAGTTTCCGATCAATTCTGTTGACTGATTAGGGGGGCAATAATTCCAGTGCAATAATCACAATCACAATACAGGAGGTGGAAAAAAAAAAAACGGTGAAACGGGAAAGAACTAATTTTAGGTCAAACCCCTGTTTTGAGGGTTTTTAGCTGGCAAGCTCACTGGAATAGGCTGTGGTTTTACTACCCAGATACAAAGCATTTATGCCAATGGTTGGAATCTCTGGATGATCCTTGAATTTACTGGATGGAGAAAAGAATTTCCATTCTACAGTGAATTTTGGCCTCCTTACTTGTTTTAGTTCTGATTAAGGCAGAGAAGCACTTTTTCTAAAATGGAAACAATAAGGAAGTTCATATTGGATAAACAGAAACATTTTGTTTCAGTGAAGTAAAAGGCTTTGTTTTGATAACTCAGCAGCGTGATTAAGGTAGTGCAGCCACAAGCTTGGCCAGGGAGATGGCCTCTCTTCTTGGGTCTCCCTCAAGGCTAGCTCTCTATTGTTCTTTCAAACATAATATACAAGTGTTTCTGAATACTAACTTAAACATAAATGTCAAACAAACAATTCGAAAGGATACAGGGAAAAGCAAAATGGTCAAAACTATGAAAGTTTCCCAGATCAAAATATTCTCACGAAGTGAGAAACTTCTCACAGTCTTCCTGACATTTTTCTGGTGAGTATTGCACCGAAAGGCAGGCCTACAAAACATTCAGATTTTTATGAAAGTACAAATCAATCTCTAACTAAAATTTTTCAGCCACCTCTACCTCTCATAGATTGTGCATCCCCACTTAGAGAAGGAAAACTCGTCACTTACAGTACTGGAGCTAAAATATACCATGACAGAAGTAGGAGAAGTTATTTATCTTCCAGGGCTCTTTTAATCTGTCACTATAAGAAGAATTTCTACTGCCAGTGAGACAGCCGTTTGGAGAGACTGGATCCTTATATACTACAATTTAAAGGAAGAGTGGGAGCCCACCACCATCTCGTACCAAGGTGAATGATCACACATGTTGGAGCGCAGCAGCCCAGTCCTCCTCTGCTGATGCCTAGCTCATGTTCTCCCATAGCTGAGGCCTCAACCACCAGCATTTACGCAACCAAGTCCCATCCTCCTCACCCTTCCCTTGCTACAGCAGCTCCCTGCACCACGCAGAGGGGACCCCTACGCAAGAGAGAGGCTGCAGCACTGCGCTGCGGTGGGACGACTGTGCCAGTGAGGACAAGGTTTGCCAGCCCTGTCTGGTGGCATGCTGCCAAGCCATCGCCAAGTGCTGCGGTCCTTCCCACCATGCGATGCGAGAGACACGGGTGATTCACGGCACAAACAAGTGCTGCGGTCCTTCCCACCATGCGATGTGAGAGACACGGGTGATTCACGGCACAGAGACAGGTCTGAATCACTTCTCGTAACGTTGAGTTCAGTCACCACCACGTGACTCAATAGGGTATATTTTGACAATACACATGGACACACACGTATTTCGGGGAGCAGGGTTTACCTCTTCTGGTTCATTGAAGCCAGCTGACTCCACTCGTTTAGGCAAGGGTTGTAACAATGGGCAGCCGAAATCTCCTGGCTGGTGATCCTGTAGCCCCCGACGATGAACAGGTAGTTGTCCAGCATCGCTGACCCGTAGCCTCGGACATTCACCAGGTCAGGGGGCAGGTTGTTGGCCAGGGGCAGCCACCTCTGCGCTTCCTCATCATACCTCAGCATAGACCAGGGGGCTTCCACCTGAGGGTGACAGCCTGGGGGCAGGCCCCGGGAGGAGGCACCCATGAAGTCCCCGATGGCCACCAGGGTGGCGGTGCCCCTCATCCGCCTCTCCTTCAAGTGCTGCTGGAGAGCGTGGGGCAGGAGGAGATGGGGCCGGGCATCGGGCC